TCTACTACTTCTATAGCTTCTACTACTTCTACTGCTTCTACTGCTTTTATTAAGGTTATTTATTTTACTTTTTTTTTATAATTTCTTTTCTTTATAATTATTAAACTTAAATATTTTTATTTATATTTTATTTAAATTAAAATATAATTAACTTTAATATTTATTTATATTTTTAATTAAAATATTATTAATATTATTATTAAGTTATATTAAAATTATAAATAAAAATAATAATAAATAATTTTAATTATAATATTTTTAATATATAATATTAATATTATAATATTTAAAGTAAATAATTATTATATTATATATTAATATTTATAATTCTTAAACTTTAATTATTAAATATAAAATATATTAATTAATTTAATAATAATATAAGTTTATTATAATAAAGTAATTATATAAAAAAAAATATTATTCTTTAACTTTTATAATTATAATAATAAGTCTATAAGGTAACTTAGATAAATTTATAATAAATTAATAAACTAGAGTTATTTTAATTATTAAATAATAAAGTTAAAAAACTTAACTTTTTAAATAATTTATTATAAAAAAATTAACTTTTTATTATAATTTAAAATCTATAATTAAATATATAAGTTTATTATATATTATTTATTAAGTTATTTAAATTATTAATTATTAATATAATAATAAATTAAATTATTATTTTAAATTTATTAATTATATAATAAAATTAATTATATATATTTTATTACTTTTATTAATATAAATTATAAATTATTAATTATTTTAAAAAAAATATTATTTTATATTACTTAATATAAATTAAATTATTATAATTTTTTATAATTAATTTAATTATATTAATAATAAATACTTTAAAATATTATATATATATATATAATAATTATATATTATATATTATATATTTTTTATAATAATATTTTAAAAAACTATTATTTATTTTTTTATTTTAATTATTTAATAAAATATTAAATAAAGAATATTATATTAATAATTTTATTTAAATATATAATATAAAAATAAATATAATAATTCTTAAAAAAGTTTTAAATACTATAAAATTATTATTTTTATAATTAATTAATTAAATAAAAAATAAATTAATTTAAATTATAATATATAAAATAATAAATTAAGCTTTTATATAATTAAAAAAAATAAAATTATAAATAAATAATTTTATATTAAGTTAATATTAGTAAATAAATTAAGTTAAATTAATAAATAATTAATAAAAAATAAAAGAATTTATTTATATAATTAATAAATAATATTATATAAATATAATTAATTATTATTTTATATTTATATTTAATAATTTACTTATTTTAAATATATATTATAATATATATATATATAATAAAAAACTTACTTAAGTTTATTTATTTTAAAATAAATTAACTTTTTTTAAAAAATTTTTACTTTAGCTTATTTATTATTATATAAGCTTTTTATAATTAATTTTCTAATTTATTATATTTTTATAATACTTACCCTATAGAGTTATTATTATAATTATAATTATTTTATTAATAAATTATAAAAAATAAAATATTTATATTTATATATTAATATAAAAAAGTTTTATAAATAAATTATATATATAGCTTATATAAATAAATTAATTAAATTAAGTTAATATATAATTAAAAAAAATTAATTAAATTTTTATATAATTAATAAATAATAATTTATATATATAATTTAATATTATTTTATATTTAAAATTTATTATTTAAATTATTTTAAATTAATATATAAATAAAACTTATATATTAATTTATATTAAGTAAAATTATTTATAATTATATAAATTTAAAGTAATATAAAATATATATAATTATATTTAATAAATATAACTTAAATTTAAAAATTAAATTATTTATTATTAAATTAAGAATTATATTTTTAAAAAATTATAAATTAAGGTTATAAATATTAAATTATAATATAATTATTTTATTAAAATTATTAATTATATAACTTTAATTATATTTTATAATTATATTTATTAATATAAATTATAATAAATTCTTTATTTTTATAAATTACTTATAATATATTACTTAATATAAATTTTTTAATTTAATTAAAAAAAATTATTTTATAAATATAAATCATAATTTTATTATATTAATTTATTATTATTTTTAAAAAAAAATATTAATATTATATTTAATATATAATAAAATATTAAAAATAAAATTATATTATAATAAATTAATAAAAAATTATTTTATATTAATCAAGCTAAGCTTCCTTTTTGCAATTAATTATACTTTCACACCTTTGCACCCATATAGTATCTCTACTTTGGAAAACATTTGCAATAAACTCCACTGGATTATGCAAATGCTCCTGGAGGGTCCTTAGCTTCTCCTGTAACTCCTCCTCCCCTGCTATCCGAATAAACTCAGACTTAATACTAGCAAATCGACTACCACCCTTAAGCCAACCAACTGCCCCAAGAATATTATTTGTAATTTTATATTGATCTAAAAGGCAAGGTGAGTTATTAGTTTATATACTTAATAAATAAAAATTATAAGTTAGGGAAACTTACCTGTTGCCTCTCGTACAGACTGCATACTAAACATAATCTCCTCTTGCTTTTTAGCGTTTGGTCCCTGAGGCTTTTTTTCCCTAAACTTATCTGGCTTGAGAAACCACAGCATACGTAGAGCAAGAAGAAAAGCGCGGGCCTCTTTCCTCTTCTTTCGGGCGGGCTTTGTGTCGATAATAAAGCCGGGCCGGCTTGCCTTTGTTTCGTAAAGAGCCATGCCCTCGGTCATCCCAACAGTCATAGCCAGCATGCACAGGAGCTCGACCTCTGGCTCCGCCTGGTATTGTTGGAGGAGAGATAACCCCAAGTTATAGTGGTTAATAAGCCCGGTGTTTGCCGGCTTGCCCCCGGGCGTTTCTTCAGAAATGAGCCCGGAGTCTCCCGACTTGCCCCCGCGCTTTGCGTTAAAAACCAGGATGTCATAGCCCGTTTTTAATGCAGGGGGTAGGCCCTCTCGGAGCGGGAACGTGCAGCCAAAGTCAATGAAAGCCGAGCTTTTCCTCCGCTTGGCCGCCCGCTCGTCTTCGGCCGCTGCCCGGCCGCCCGTTCGCTTCAGGAGAGAAAAGGCGTCGCGGTAAACCGGCTCTCTGTCTAGTACCAGCTCCCAAGCTACAGTGGCCGTTACCGTTCCGCGTGCGTGGCCAAGGACCCAGCAGACGCGATGCTCCCGCAGCGCGTCCGCGATATACAGCCGCCAGCGATTGGCGGCGTTCTCAGTGGGGTTAATGGCACTTGCCTCCCTGAAGAGAGAGCTTAGGGCTGCCAGCCATGTCATGTCCTTGGAGCAGAGCGTCTTATCGGTGGTGCTCGTGTCCAGGCCAGCGCTGGCGCTCGCCACAAGAGACTCGGCCACCCTCCCTGCAAAGGTGTTATAGCTGAGGCGTTCAATGGTAATTGCGCCCTGCTCTTGCCCCGCTGGCTTCTTGGTGGCCTTGTTTATGGTGGCCACAAGGGCCCTGAATTTCCTATAAAGCAAGTTAGGGGCCGCCTCAGGTCGGAAGATGAGGGGAAGTAAAGAGGGGAGAGACAGTAAGGAGTCCGCTGTTGCTTGCGGGGTGTTTGGATATAGAGTATGGACACGTAGGTCGGGCATATACTTACTCGAGGCTGAATACTTCTGCCGGGTTCTCATCCGCAGCCTCCCAGGCATCCAGCTCGGCGTAGGCCGTCTGCACATCCCTCTCCTGCCCTGCCGTGAGCGCCTCGCCACGCCTGCGCTTCTGGAGGAGTTTGCGGGTCCTCGCGGCGAAGAACTGGCACATCTCCGGGATAAAGTGCCTTCTGAAGACCACCTTGATGAAGTCCGCGACGGCCTGCGTGTTGGCGGCTATAAGTTGGACCTGGGCCTCGGCCTCGCGCCCCGCGGCAACCTGCTTGCCGTAGTAAAACTGGAGCGTGGCCGCCTGGAGGAGGTGGACCTTCCTGTCCCTGACGCCGGGCCAGTCGCACATCTCTATGCGGCCTCTGCCGGCAAACCCTAGTATTTTGGGGTTGATGTAGGGGAACGCGTGGTGCCTCAGGCTGTTCGACGTACCCAGGTACTCAAACGTGGCGCGCGGGAGCACCCTCCTGTCTCCCGTAAAGCAGAAGCTGCCGAGCCGGTCCACGGCCGCCATGGCCTCGCCCAGCTCGATTGATAGCCCGCGGCCCCCGGCGTTGTCGAACTGCGTCAGGATCGACGTGGTAATAAGCTCAAAGATCCTGCAGTACGAGGTCAGCACGCCCGGGAATACCTTTGGGTTAAACGCCCTGAGCACGCCCGCGTAGCGATCCTGGGCCGTGAGGAAGAGGCTGATAAGCTGGGCCATTGGCCGAAAGACAGCGGCGGCGCTCCGGTTCTCGGGCAGTATCTTGGAGACAGACACGGTAATTACCTGCTCCATCCGAAAGGCAAATTCGCTCTCCTGGATGCACTTCTCCAGCTGGCTTGCCTCCCGCGCGTACGGGATCGCCTGGCGCGGGGCGTCCGGGTTACCCTCGCCCCTGAGCCGGGCCAGCAGCCTTTGCTGCGTGCCTATCGCGGAGTGCGTCACGCCCGGCCCCTTGGCGGGGAGCGCGAGGGCCGCAGTGGCGATAGCCTTGCTGGCGAGCAGGTCCTGCGGGTTGAAGCGCACCGTCTTCTTGATGTTGGAGTAGCCCTGAAAGTACTCGGCGGCGACGATCTCGTCGTCGTCGTTCTCGCGGCGCATGTTAAGGCGCACCGGCTCTATGGCATCCTTGATGAAGTCTGGCGGCGCGGTGGATGTGAAGTTGCCGAACCCGGGGTGGAACGCCAGGGGGTAGGGCGTTAGGCACGCCTGCTTCGTCCCCTCCAGGTACTCCCCCTCGACGGCCTGAAAGTCTGCGAGCAGGCAGACCGGCCGGCCGTCGCTGAGGCAGTTGATATCCGCGGCGAGAGCGTAGGCGACGCTGTGCACGGCGTCGAGGCAGAATACGGCCTCGATGGTGGAGCTCAGCTGTTGTATACCGGGGGCCCGCCCCGCGAACTCCATCAGCCGCGCCCCCCTCTCCGCAGACTCGGCGCGTGGGGCCCCACGGGAGCGCCTCGGCCCTCCCACGCCGTCGTCGCCGTCCTCCTCGCTCTGGCTGTCCCCAAACTCGTCCAGCACGGACTCGGCCGGGCTGCCACGGCGTGGGGAGGCGCCGGTGACGCTGCCCTCGTCTTCCGTGTCGGCGTTGAGGCTGCTGTACTCGTCCTCGGTGTTGCCGCCGCCCTCCTTATCCTCGTACACCTCTTCCATGTCCGGGACGGGGGTGTCGTCGCCAATGTCGATGCAGACGTTGCCCCCGTAGCCGTACGCGTGGAAGGCCAGCTGGACCCCGGCCCAGAACCGGTCGCGGGCGCTGTTCTCCCGGACGAAATCGGCCCACCCCGACAGCAAGGCATCCTGCAGCCTCGCCCAGTCTCTAAGGGAGAGTTGGGCCGTCTCCTGCCCGTTGAGGCGCCATGAGTCCTCGATGCCCCTGCCCAGGATGGTGCTGCCCACGCAGGCGAGGAAGTACCTCGAGAACTTTTGGGCGCGGTGGCGTCTTAACGCGGTGGCCTTCTTGCGTCTTCCGGTCCCCGGCATTTCCCGCCCCTGGGTGCGGCCGTGGCTCCCTTCCAGGTCATCGTCGTCCCCCTCCTGGCCGCCGTACGCCGCCCTCGGATCTGGGGTAAAGATAATGAACCACGTCATGGCCAGCCCGTCGGCCCCAACCTTGAAGGTGCGGCCAATGAGGCTAAAGTCCAGCATGCTCTTAATGTGCTTGCTGGAGTAGGGCGCCGACCAGTCCTTGAACGAGATGCTGATTGAGGAGAGGGGGTGACTTTCCGTAGCCCTAGAGACTGCCTGGCCGGGCTTCCCTATAACTGCGAGGAAGTCGAGGAAGAACGTAGGCAGGAGCCTAGTCACCCGCCCTCTACTGCGGCCCCTGTTCTCACTGTCCATATCCAACGGCCACGAACTCATGCTGTAATCTACCGATCGCTTCGTTTGGATAAACCTGACTGCTTCGGTAGCGCTCGATAAGTCTAGGACTTTCTTCCGTAATAGCTTTGCTATACATGATTGCGTAGTTAGTAGCCGTATATTGGATATTTGTATGTTTATAGCAGTAGGCACGCGTGCATGAACCCATATACATAGGTTGGGGATAGGTGTTATGAATGAGAACGTACCGGTAAGGTGGCTGCCCTTGCAAGCAGTGACCTTGTATTTTCGGCTCTCCCATTCGTCTTGTTGGGAGCCCTCTTCCTGCACGTCTGCAGCATCATAACTGCTCACCTGCTCTTCCTCGCCCTCGCCCTCACCCTCGCTCTCGCTCTCGGCATCACCAGGCGGCGGCGGGCTGGGCCGGCCCCCTTCTGGCTCCGGGGGCGGGGAGAAGCAGTTGCCTTTGGTGAAGAGCCTACCTCCCTGCGGACGGATAGGTTGCCTCGCCTGAGTGGCCGCGGTCGACTCCCGACGAGCAGCCAGGTTGCTGAGCGGTAGGGAGGCCCCGAGATGATTATCACGCACGTCTGCCGTCGAGTGGCGTCTCCTGTCTCCGTCGTCGTCGTTATCATAGGCATAGATTGTATTGTCCGAGTCTTCCTCGCTATCGGGACAAACATAGGTGGAAGGAGTCTTGCTTCTAAGGCTAAATAGACTTATAGCATCAGGGGATTGGGAAGCCGGTTGACGAGGCATAGTGACAGCTATCCTTTGAGAAATAGAGCGCCTTGTTTTTTTCCCCTTGGAAAGAGACAAAAGCTACTGTTGTTTTTTATAGAATTTTCTTTATACTTTGTTCTATTTCCCACAGCTATTTTATATTTTTTTCCCACTCATTTTTTCAAAAATCACAATTACAATAAGGATCCATATCCCTCGCTTGACACACCTAAACCCGACCCTACCATTCTCTCCCGTGGCCCGAACTCATTATATCCCTGTAAAATTTACTAGCTTGGTATTGTTGCTGTGCTGGCCGTGCAGTATCTATGCTTAGACCCCGGCTGCACCTGTGCCTTGACGCTTGCGGATATGTTGTTATATCGCAACGCGCCCATCGGCCCATTTTGGCTGCTTTTCCTTGGGCGGGATGGCCCTATCCATACGGGCCTCGCTGGAGCTCTGGGATCCCGCGGGTATCCTCTTGCTCTTGGCTGCCTGGATCGGCCCAGGGGGGCTTTCAAGCTCGTCGCCGCCGCCGTCGTCGTCAGGTCGGGCATTATTTCTGGATTTCTGTGAGCTCGCCGGCTTCCTGTTGCTGTTGGCGGCTGGGTTCAGGGGCGGGAGGACCTCTAGCTCGTCGCTGTCGTCGCCATCGTGGCTGGAAGGCTGGGTGGCTGAGACTTGCTTCTCGCGGGGGGGGTTCAACGACGGCGGTTTTGATGCCTTGGCCGTGGAGCTTCGTCCGCTCGGCAGGCTTTTCCTGCTGGGATGGCCCTGGCCTGACCGTGGTGGTTGTTGGCGGTTGGGCTCGTCACCCTCGCGAGCGCCTCTGCTCCCGTTGAAGTCTGCGCTACCGCGTACGCCTTCGTCGCCCCGCCCAGTACCCTGTCGTCTTGGATGCGCCTCGCTCTTGCGAGGGTTCGGCGTCCTCCCTTGCTTGAACGCACTGCTTTCTTCCTTTTGCCAGTCCACGACCGCGCGCCCGAGGATGTACTTCAGCCTGTCAAAGGGTCCCTTTTTCGCAGCCCATGGGTGATGCTTGATGTGATCATCGCCGGCCACATCGTCGACCAGAGCCACAATGCCCCGCCGCACGTGCTCGCGGTATAGCTCGAGCTCTCTTGCGCTCTCTGCCGGCTCCTGGACAATCGGGCTGCCGGGCGGCGTGGCGACCCATCCAGCACGGACGCCGGGGCCCAGGCTGCGTCGTACGATCTCCAGGACGCCTCGCCAAAGACCGCTGCGGCTGAAGCGCTCGTCGTACTTGTCGTCAATGGCGTCGCGGCCTCCGTCTGGCAGAACTTCGAGCTCGGGGCCGCTTAAGCGCCCGAGCTCAGGCAATAAGCCTAGTGCGTGTTCGAGGATGTCCCGCTCCAGCTTGATGGCCAGTCGGGCGATTTCAGCGGCGTCATTGCTGCTGCCCCCATCCCTGAATGCCGGCTCCAGGTCCTTGCATAAAGGTGGCTTGTTGTTGGACGTACGTTTGGTGTCTGTTGGGCAGGGGTTAACCCAGGCCACGACGTGGCCCATGATCTGGCTGAGTGCCTTCCCGTTAGCCTTTTTAATCTCGAGCGTAGGCCTCAGCTGGTTAAACGGGGGACAGCCTGCTTTCTTGATGGCGTCTACCAGCTGCTCAAGCCGCTTGTCGCATAGCGAAGGCAGGGCGCTGGCCATCGCCTTGGTCTTCGTCTTCCCCCCAAGCGCGTTGAGGGCAGCGGCGGATGCATTGATCCTCTGCTGCAGGACGCGGTCGGCCGCGTCGGCCCCGTAGCCTTTGGGTAAAAGGTCCGCGAGGGCATCCCAGTCATCAAGGAGGATTTCTTCCGAGATAGTCCAGCCGCATGGGCGCAGCTCTAGGTCCAGCGAGCCTAGCGTCTCCAGCACTTGTTGGAAGCGCGATATCCAAAACTGCGATTTGCGTAGGTATCATGTAAGCCAGTACTCAACAATAATGTAATAATGGTAAACTAGGAAGACTAGTGAAACGTAATAATACTACCGTTGTTATTGACAGCGGCTATTGTATCAGAGGGGGCTAAGAGGGAAGGGGCCTAGCTTACATTATCGAGTCTGTGAGCTATCATATTAACCCACTTTGATGCATTGAATGTCTCCCTGCCGATGGTTGTCCGGCACCATAGCGTTGTAAAAGTGCGCCATTGCTTATTACGCATAATAATCGACATTCGCGTGGGGAGCTTGGTTGCTACCTCGCCGTCTAAGGAAAGGGCGGCTGCAAGTTTCTTTGTGATATCTTGAGAATTACCTTTCCCAAGGATATTCTCGCTGCCCTGGTTATCGCAAATAGACATGAGCTGTAGCCAGATTTGCCCATCTTGGTCCATAAGCTTAAGCTCTTGTCGATTCATACAGAGCTGGAGACGTATGTGATCTGGGAGTGTATCTGTGTGGAAATTAGTATATTGTAAATAATATGCTTTAGGGTAGGTTGCTTTTTGGATAATTACCACGGTTATAAATCTCGCAAGTCCACCATTTCTCGCTATTGCTGCCCTGGTCCAACACCTGCCGGGCTGCCCTTAGACGATGCTGACCGTCAAGCAGCTCTGCAACCTCATTGGTGACCTCAGCCCACTCACGAAAGTCAAGTGGCTCAAGCAGGGGGGTTCCTTGGCTGCTTGCCCGGATGCTCTCTGATGCATCAGCCGGGTCCCCTGGTAAGCCTGGGCTGTTGTCGCGAAGACGCGTCTGCATGGCGGTGACCGCGCTGGCGCTGCACGTGATCTTCATGTAGTTCTCTGGCTCAAGTCTGCCCATACCCCTATCACGGAAACTCTGACAAAGGCTGCTGAGGTGGCTCTCATCTACCCGCCTGTTTTTTCCAACCTTCCAACGCGAAGATAGGGCGTCAAGAGGAAATTTCGCAATGGCAAGCAAATGGCCTTTAGCGAGAGTTCGTGCCGATGCAAGCTCACCTACTGCGGTAGATGGTATATGATTAGACGAATGTAAAGCAGAGCTTCCTCGACGAGATCGCTTTACTGGACTGGCCCTCCCAGCAGGACTGGCAATCTGTGATCGTTTCATTATTACTTTTGAAAAACAAAATAAGAATGAAAAAAAGGTAAGGAGATTGATTATATTTACACATAATATTTATAAAGAATTAGGAAAAAAATTTTAAGCTAATTATTTAGAAGGTAAAATTTGGGTGGGGTTAGGGATTGGCAGCTAGCTTTTGCAAAATAACCAACAGGCTGCTTCCCCCGGGGGAAGAGGTCGAGCCAGCTTTTTCAAAATGACCAAGTGGCTGCTTCCCCCGGGGGAAGAGGTCGAGCCAGCTTTTGAAAATGGCCAACAGGCTGCTTCCCCCGGGGGAAGAGGTCGAGCCAGCTTTTTCAAAATGGCCAACAGGCTGCTTCCCCCGGGGGAAGAGCTTCATCAGCTTTTTGAAAATGGCCAACAGGCTGCTTCCCCCGGGGGAAGAGGTCGAGCCAGCTTTTTAAAAATGACCAAGTGACTGCTTCCCCCGGGGGAAGAGCTTCATTAGCTTTTTGAAAATGGCCAACAGGCTGCTTCCCCCGGGGGAAGAGGTCGAGCCAGCTTTTTCAAAATGACCAAGTGGCTGCTTCCCCCGGGGGAAGAGGTCGAGCCAGCTTTTTCAAAATGACCAACTGACTGCTTCCCCCGGGGGAAGAGGTCGAGCCAGCTTTTGAAAATGGCCAACAGGCTGCTTCCCCCGGGGGAAGAGCTTCATTAGCTTTTTGAAAATGG